CACACACACACACACACACACACACACACTTTCCCTGCCTCCCTCCCTTCCCCTCTCTTTCCCCTTCTTCTTCTTTTCCCTCTATCTTTTCTCATTTCCTCTGTCTCTCCTCTCCCTATTTCTCTCCTCCTCCCTCTCTCCTTCCCAATTTCTTATTGTTCTTCTTTTTATTCCCTTTTCTTCCTACTTTTCTCCTTGCACTTCTATCATGAAATAGCATAACAAGAAGTCTTTTTCTAGATATCAGGCCCTTGCTCTTGGACATTGCAGCCTCTGGAATAATAAACAAATAAATTTCTGCTCACATAAAGTACCAGTTTGGTGCTGGTCCATTACAGTACCACAAAATAGACTACAATAGTGTCCTTCTCTTTGCTTATATGAGTCCTAATCAGATAAAGGGTTGAGAGAGAGAGAGATGGAGAGAGCAAAACTAGAAACTCAATCCTGACAGCAGAAGAGAATTGTGATTATTATCTGTGTAGGGAAACAAGATCCTATGTCCCTGACATGTCACACTGGCTAGAACCTGGAAAGCAGACATGCATGTGGTGAGTGAAATTATGGCCTCCCAATGATGTCCACACCCTAAACCTCAATAACCTACACAATGCTTGTTTACCTCTTTGTCAAAGGAGAAATTAAGATTTCTTATTGGAAAATCTTAAATTAGGGAGTGTATCCAGAATTTTCTAGTGTGTTCAATGTACTCACAATAGTCCTTGAACATGGTTAAGGAACGCAGAAGAAAATGAAATGCAGCCAAGGACAAGGGGTAAAGGGTTGTTAGACTACTGGTTTTGAAAACAGGAAACGGGGTATGAGTCAAGGATGACAGGCAGCTTCTAGAAGCTTTAGAAGGCTTCAAAGTGGCCATCAGGATGGTTTCTAGGCCTTGGCTAGCAGGTGGTACAGACAGTGATTCCTGACAGAAATGAACAGAGACCTTGATGGCCCTAGCCCAAAGCTATGAAGTGTTTTCTTAGGCAGCAGTACATAAAGAGAAATCCAAACCAAACACAGTATGAGGTAGGCTAGGAAGACAGGGAAAAGTAGGAAGACATGAGCCCCTCGCTAGGGAACCGGCTGAGAAGCAAGAGTTCCAGCACCAGCAGTATCTGCTGTGAAGGTGGCTCACATAAAGCACTCATTTCATACATAAATGTTATGCTAAAATATCAGTGACCCAGGCTGACAGCATGAATGTATGTGACTTGGGTAGGGCCTTTTTCCTGTCTCACAGTTTCTGGGAGTCTCAAACAAGACTGAACATTAACTTTGTGCATCCCTGTGGCCTAAGCATTTAGCCCATCAATTGCAGCCTTGTCGGTACAGGCCTGGAACCATTCAGTAATCATTTAGTTTCCCTAGAAATAGGTCTCTAACAGCCTCAAAATCTAACAAAATATTACTTATGGCCAACATGAAGACAACATTGTAAGACTCTCTAAGAAACTCGCACCCGGCTCTGGAACGTGTCTTACTTCTCCGGAGCCTCTTTTCAAATTCTCAATATTCATGTTTATAATCTACTTAAAAATTCTTATAAACTCTATCTCTGTTCTATACTGGCTCATCCTGAAAGTCTTTTCACTGAAGCTAAGAATCCTAGTTACGCCTGAGTAGAGTTGTCACCTGTTCTAAGAAACAAACGCACGTGAAGACACTGTATATAGCTGGGGGCAACCACTAAGAGTAAGTAGGCAGACTACTCCAAATTCACCAGGGCTAGAAATAGGTGGCGTCGTTACAAGCCAGAATAGAAAGATCTCATTCAGCTGGTACTAAACAGAATCTTGACAAGCATATTATTTCAGCCATGGGGCTAATTAGCCATGTATGAAAGGTTTTATTTTAGATATGACTTACAAACCTTCAAAGCAAGACTTGAAAATGTCAGCCTGTTTCCATATAATTACTGCACCACCAAACACAATCCAGAGGTTTTCAAAGGGCTGCAAATACTCCACCAGAATAGAACTCAGATATTTGATATCTAATAAAAATATATAAGAAAAGAAATATTGTCCATAAAGAGGAGAAAAATCACTTAATGGAGACAGATTAAGGAATGATACATGTGACAGAAGCAATACCCCTATTAGCAGGGGTATTAAATATT